TAAGTGTATTACGTTGTTTAACATGTATTCGAATTTCATCAAGATAATCAATTTATCCATCACATATTTCACTCCAATCTAAATACAACATGTTATTTGATGTAATAAATAAATTTGAATTTTACTTTTTTTATAAAGATAATTCTTGCTGGAATTATTCCTTAATGAATATATTTTTTCTTTTTTAATTTTTTTTGGTTTAATATATATCTTATTTTATAGAAATGATTAGTAAGAAAATATTACCTATATGATTGAGTTATTTATCACCATTTGTCATATTATTTATAAGTCGCTTAAGTAAATAATGCATTGACATAAGAATTTTATTTCAGAAAAAGAATCTGAAAAACTATTTTGATTTTCTTCTCAAACTTAATTTTTCATTCATATTAACTAAGATGATATGTATATCTTCTTCTTTGAATTTGTATAATTAAGGGGTGGAATAGGACTTCGTCTCTTTCAAACAATCGTTCGAATTCTTCAAACGGAGAACAAATATGTAAAGAGACCCCTAGCTTTCTTTTAAGTATAATTAAGTAGAAGATGATTAGTTCAAATTAAAAAATTTTCAGTACTAAACCAATGTCAAAGTTATTGATCGTTGTCAAAAGCAAACATAGTTGCTGATTAAAAATAATTTATTGTTATGAAAGTATAAAAATAGAAAGCAGAGTAAAAATGTTTGTGAACTACGTAAAACGATGTCTGATCCAGAGATGGACAAAGTCGCACCGCGTCTCCCCGCGCCGTTGCTCACGCCTACGCTACACTAGTCTGAGCTTCGATGAGCGCATGCTTAGAGCATCCCGGTATTCGGTGGAGTTTGAGAAACTGATTGGTAGAGCAAAGAGAAAGAGAGATGTGCGTAGCGCCTAGGCGCGAGCAGTGGCGCAGGGAGGCGCGATGCGATTTTGTCCATCTCTGGTCTGATCACTATAAATCATGTATTTAGAAATATTCATAATTATCATTTCTTAACCGCATTTACAATAGCAACAATTATTCCAATAATACCAGGTATGATGCAGAAAAAACAAACAATACCACACCATATGTACTTGCATGTTTTCGATCTGCTAGATGATACTCCAACATAAGATGATTTCGTAACAGCAGGTGTATTTGAATTATTCAATCGTGCTACAAGTCGTTGTCTCGGTTCGTAATAATTTCTAGACATCCATTGTGTTTTATATGCCATAATATTATTAATATGATGTTGACGTCCCGCTATAAGAATCGATTCATGAATTAAAAATTGACTGCGTGCTTGTCGAATTTCGTAGAATTCATTAGAACCATTTTGACATAGAGCATCATATTGAAAGAAAACTTTATTTTGTAATACATCTGGATTGAATGTATAACACAATGCAAGAAGTACCTTTTGCTCGTCCAATGATAAAGAATACCAATTTTGATAAGTTGTATAACGTTGAATGCTAGGCTCATTGTTACAATCAATTACTATGCATACACAATTTAGGTAATACATGAGTCGTGCTACATCATTATTAGGTACATTTACGCGAATTCCTGTGCGTTCTACTTCGAACTCATTTCTTTGTGCGAATAGACTCGACATGGCGATATTCTTTGCCTGTTTGACAGAACAAATAGTTTCTTATTTTACAATGCATTATCTCAATATTTTTCATAGTCAAACTTCATACAAATTTCCAACATAGAAGTAATAAAAATGAAAAACAATTTCTGCGTATAGTATTTTCTTTCTGAGAAATATTACTTTGATTTATTAGCTTAAGATAAGAAATAAAGTATTCAAGCAAGAATTGTGCATAGAAACGAAGTGAATGATATCGTTGCTTTTTCTTATTGTGCTGATCATTATGTATTTCAATCAATAGATTTAGCGTTCTATAAATGTTGCTTAATGATTATATGTCGATATATATATCAAAGTTTGATAGATTAGATACGATTCGAGAACAAAGATCCAAGATAATGATTCATTTCAGAGATTTTCTACTCTTGATAATTCCTATATAATAACGAAAGTCTCATCTCGACAGCTATTTTGCCATTTGAAAAGGTCCTATCCAGGTCTTCAAAGCAAAGAGATGTAGCCTTCCAAAATCTCAAATTAGAAAGGGGTAATGCTTCTGTTCATATCGATCCATTAGATTTACATATCAGAAAAGTACTTTTCTGCTTTGCTGCTGTGCCAATGCTCACTGAATCGATGACGTCAGTTATCAGTAGACTGAAATTGCACATCCCTAGTCAAGACGAAATTCGATGCCCATCAATAAATTAATTGAAATATTTATCATATAATCGTATTTAGTCAAGAAGTTGATTCACTTGAAATAAGACAAGATTCCATTAGTTCATATTTTTTTGTTTTGTTTTACCTTGAATTTTCTACCATACGTAGAATTCGAATCATAGGTACCACATAGTTCTCCATGAACTGATATTAAAGGAAATTATATATCAAACACTATCTACTTACATCGTGTGTCCTCTTCATTTTTCAGCTATTTATTTAATAGTACAACATAGTATTTTTGTCATGATTTGTCAAACAGTAAAATTTAGTTTTCAATCAACTACATATATTTCAGGATGAATTCAACAAATTGAAATGAAAATTTTAGGATTTTACTAGTCGAACTTCGCATAGCTTAGGATTGCCTTGAATTTTGATGAAATATGCATACTGAAACTTTTTTCTCGAAATTATTTTTTCATTAAAAAAAAGCGCAGAAACGCCTTCGTTTCTCCAGTTTGATACGTTTCGCTATTTGGATTGAGTATTTTTTGTAGTTCTTAGAGAAAAAAAGCTCTATTCAAAAACAAAAATATGCACTTTTTAGAGTACCCTGGATATTTAATTTGAAATTTTTCGAGTAAGTCGTTGTACAGACGCTTGAAAAATAAGGAAGAGGGGATACCCTTAATAACTTTATACGAATTGAGAAGTCTTTCAGTCATGTTAAATAATGATTTTAAATAAGAAAATATCAATTCTTGTAAAAAAAATTGTATCTTTACTGAAGGAAACGAGACAAAACAAATCATCGACATTATTCAATATAAGTTATTATGAATTACTTAATGAAAAATTTCTTCTTCTTTCATTTTTTGTATTAGTGTATGTCGACGATGATATGTTAAATGAACAGAAACTAATCTAAATACTAAACTGACTGGTTCTGTCGAGTTGAAAAAAAAATCAGTCGACTTCGATTTTCGTAGGAAACAAAAATGACAAAACCATTCATTCTATCCTGTTGTTGGTTTTCCAGTAAATTGCTCTGCAAATTTTTATCCAGCAAGGAAAGAAGGTATACTTCTTAGGAGTAAACAGTGAATGTAATACAATTTCGTTCATGAATCAATTTTATTGATAAGACTTTCAATTTTTCAAAAAACAAAAGCACATTGTGCCACTTAAAATTTTCGGAGTAAAATCACTGCCAAAGTGCTGAGTACAAGTGCCCAAGTCGATGATTTCACTGATTTGATACCCAGATTACACATATTTCTGTCACAGCAACAGACTTCCATCCATAGATTGTTAATATTTTTCTTATAGCAACCGCTTCGGTTGCAATTACCTGGATTTGCTGGTCCGCGAGTAATAAGTCCCGCATCACCATTATTTGGACTTATTTTCTGAAATGATAGAACATTGAAAGTGCATTATGAAAATAGATACTTTCGCTTAAGAAAGAAAGAATAGATTCTTAATCTTCATTAAACCAATATAAATCTATTATCAGTACAATAAGCACTTTTAGCAATAATATAAATTCGTAATATAGTTAATAGTAGCGAGCGATATAAGATTCACTTCTGAAATCTAACTATTTCTTACGATGAGAATTATGTAGAACTATGTACGTCAAAAACTTCATCGTAATTTTGAGATTTTTTTTGAAAGTTCTCCGATCATTCAGAATTCAAATCAGAAGATCACTTGTAAGACATTTTGTTCGATGAGTTATTTTATTGGTAGACGAGTGAAGAAATAAGAAAAATTGAAAAGTAAATCTCTGCTGTAACTTTCTTATTCTTGATACCTTAGTCAATAATCGTCTTTTGGGAAACTGTAGTTATTAAAAACTGTCCAATGTTAATAAATCTTAATAAATTTTTTTCGAAAATAGATTAAGATTCATAAAAACTCATTTCAATTTTAAGATCGCTCTCATATCATTCCCAAATAAGATCTAAGAAACGGTGTACTACTATCAGAGATCTAGGACAATTTCTCTGTCAGACACTTGTTTTCAGCCATCTGCTATGATTATGGAGTGTCGATATGAGTTGCCGGTGTACGTATGAATAAAAAGAAGATCAACACCTACTATCAACTACAAGAGTGTTTTTTTCTAAAACAATATGACTGTGCTTAAGATGTCGATAGTATTGCCGGTTGTGTCTTGCAGGAAAGAATTTTGCCGCGCTGTACAATATACGATTTACACAATTAGGATGGTAAAGCATAGAAGACCTGGGCTTCAGGAAGGGGACTGACGATAATCAAGGAAAATGTAATTGTCAGTATGTAAATGAATGGCGTTTTTTGTAAATAGGTTCGAGAAAACTTAAGGTACTTTCATCAGTGATCGACAATATGATCAGCAATGGATGAATCATTATATGCTCTACACCAAAATTTTATCTCAAAAACATGATTCAGTTTTACAGAAAAGAATCGTTGAAATTTTTCCGATCACTACTTTTTATGAAAGGAATATTTCTTTTTGAAAGTACCTATAAAGTGGACTATGAGTACCTTCACTCTTCACCCACACTCATATCCTTCATAATGCGTTACTGGTCATTTAGCTATCCAGATATACAAACAAATCGAATAAATTATTTCGAATCTTTATGGCTTCATTATGATTTTACTTACTTCGCAGAATCTATTATATGATGGAAGAATCAGTACATTTGGATGAGATGGAATGAATGGTTGTGGGCATGGATGGCCTATATTGTCGCAATAGTAACAGTTGATGTATGGGGAAGCTGTCGTTACTGGTTTACTAGTAGCTTTTGAAGTCGTTCCTGGTCTTGTAGTAGATTTTGAAGTCGTTAATGGTCTAGTAGTAGCCTTTGAAGTCGTAACTGGCCTAGTGGTAACTTTTGAAGTAGTAAATGGTCTAGTAGTACTTTTTGAAGTCGTAACTGGTTTAGTACTAGCCTTTGAAGTCGTAGCTGGCCTAGTAGTAGCTTTCGAAGTCGTAGCTGGCCTAGTGGTAGGTTTTGAAGTTGTAGCATCGGATGAGCCACTAGAGGAGATTCGCACGTTATCAATCAGAATTTGAGCACTGCCAACACAGCCAACAACCAAAACAACTAAAATGAACACTCGCATCGCCAATTTCTTTCTGAAGAATTTCTAAAATTTTTGATAGAGTATGCAATAAAATAGCTACGTAAATATATACTCATTCTGTTATTGCTTGCTTTACGCAATGTAATGACGTTAGCTTTGTGTCACTAAAAACTGATAAAATGAAGAGGAGTCATTATCTATTTGTTGGTACACAAACACACACACATCATCATCATCTGACGCATTATTAGAAGATCTTTTTTATTCCTTCTTTATCTTCGTTTTCTCTTCCAATGACTCAAGAAGAATATCGATAAGAACAGAATGCGTGAAGACATATATCTTATATGTCTGTAATGTGCCTCCCCACCAATGAACATGTGGGTTCACTCACATTTGAAAATAGAAAGTAAGAAGAGGAAAATGTTGATATGGGGGTGTGTGAGTGTGGGTGTAGATCTGAAAAGAAAACCATTTTCACACTCACCGACGTTCACACCCACACCTATCGATAAAATTCTGTGTTATTTAAATCAATCAAAAGGTTTCTCCCGGCGATCGTTTTTGTCGTACTTCTGAATGTACTTGCCTACCTTCTTCATCTTGATTCCTCTTCTTTTCATACCAGTAAGAAGTCTTCTCTATCTGCGGTACGACAAAACCCTTATATAAACATCAACTTGTTGAACTTCATCTATTCAACAATAAACAATTTGAAAAACATAGTTCGCTTGATTTGCTTAAGGTGTTTATCCCTCCTAACGAGTAATCTTGACAATATCGTAACTCTGGATCTTGAGTGTAGATGGATGAGCATCAAGACTTTCTATTTATCCACACTCATATCCGAAACATAAAATTCTCTAATGAGTTCATATATGGACTACTAGAAGCTTCCATAGTTTTGTTTAGTTAAAAGCTCTTAGAATGTGCGAGAAAACTTAGTACAAATTGGAGTTGGAAACGGTTTGACATGAAGATACCAGACCAACTGGGGATACTGGTAGACGTTTTGTACTAGATCGGTATTGATCTTTATTTCTATTGATGTCAAAATGGAACTAAAACATCAAGCTACACATCAATCAAATGAAAACAATATCGATTTTCGACTTTTTTGTCGGATTTATTATAAAAATAGTAAGTCGAAGTTACAATCTGAAGAATGAAGCTCTCTATTGTTAGACTGCTTGATCTAATAGGATAGACAATGAATTATATAACTCAATAAACACTTTTGCTCGTTATGTGTCGTGTTCTTGACTTCTCTCTTCCTTATTTCTATTTTGGTTCTTCTTTTTTAACACAGCATTCTTATGTGAATTGGATGCTTCAACTTCATCGAAGTTGCATCGATATACTTTACATGAAGTTCTACAAAAGTCGAAGAGACAAATATAAATCGATAGAATAACATTCAGATTCGAAGGAATTGTATTCAATAAATTTTCCTGAACATAAGATGATTTTGAGAGATTATCTAGTAATTGCAGTCGGTTTTATCTCATGTAGAAAAACCATTAATATGTGACAAGCCACGTCTAACAATCTATCATCTTGTGACACATTAAAGCGTTGTTTCAAGTATATACTTCTTCACTGCCACTGCATCAAAGAATTGACTTGTTGTATTTTGGGAAAAAACAGCTAATAAAGTGTGTTATTCATCATTTTCTGATTGAACATTATCTGCGCCAATGAAAACTGCTACGCACGCCATGTGTAAACACATCACTTGCGTACGAAAAGAAAAAAACGTTAACGCACTTATCATGCAACTCGTCTTTGCTTGATGCGAATGACGCATGCGATGAGACAAATATACTGTATTTGTCTCTTAATAATATGAGAGCCTATTACTGTTTTTGGCCATTCATATTCAAGTACTGTGGCAAAGATCAATAGACGTAGTATTCAACTTTTGTATTTAGAAAATTATGATAGAATAAGTAGAACTGATTCGATATCTGAATATTAAGTGATCCATCCAGTGTTAATGAGATTTAATCTTGAGTATGCTCCTTCGTATCATTCCATGACTCACATAAAGAGAACAGGAAACAGTTGTATCGAGAAGCGTACAGATTTCGACTACTCATTTAAAATTATCCAGTCAAAACTGAGCTGATGAGTTGACACCGATAGTCATAGTTTTCAGTAAGTAAGCAATGTGTTTATATAATTTCACAATCAATGACACTACATGCGAAAAACTTTGTGCAATAACTCTTCTTTTGTTTATATAGCAAAGCAGTTGTCGAGTAACTATAATATATTCAAAAAGAAAACAATACTTTTAACTTGACCCACATAATTTCTCAAACATGTCTTCATCGAACGAGAAAACACAAGTCATTATTGATTTAAATAAAATATTAAATCTTAATGATGTTACTGAAATAAAACGAATGGAAACTGAATTTGAATCGTCTTTTTACCAACCAAATTCATTCTAGACAAAATATTGACCAAACAACTGTCGACATTTTTCGAGTCTGATAATAGTAAGAGTAGATATTCACAGCACTTGGCTATATATGGATATTCTAAAACGGATCATAAAGAAGGAATCAAACTTCTGACTGAAAGTTATTTTGGTCAATTTGCAAATAAAGGACTGGTACCAACGACACTTGTTCAACCGTTGAACTATCTTTCTCAAGTATTAGATACGTTTAATCGAAGTTCTTGATCATCATTCAGTATTTCAACAACAGCCATCTTTATAATCTCTTATCGAACGTGCCGATCTTCCATTTCAAGATGAGCATTTTGGTATGCTCGACATTGTATCTTACTTCAACAAAAAAAAGTGGCTTTCAACCACCAGAGAACGGACAAACAACTGAAGAAGTCAACTGTGTTCCACATTATGATCCAGGATTATTTTCAATTAGTATTTTATCGACACATAAAGGACTTCAATTGAAAAATATGACGAACAATGAGTGGGTAGATGGACCTTTAGAACCAAATATTGGTGTCATCTGGTTAGAAGAAGCGGCATCTTGAATAACACAAAATCGACTTAAGCCAGGCATTCATTGAGTTATTTATCCTCAAAAATCGAAAAGTCGACTAACAATCTGCTATGAAGTATGTACTACGGAATAGTTAAAAAATATAAGTGCTGACAAGAAAGATGAACTAATGACTAATGGAGCTGTCGCTTTCGCAAGTATGCCTGGATCGGCTCCAATAACTGTTTTACCTGGTGAGACAAAGCTGGAATTTTTGAAACGAGTTGAAATGGCTTATCATGGATTATCTATGAGTAAACTGGGCCCATCATATTATGTACTCGAAAAACATACTATTTCATATCCAACAAATAGTTTGAAAACTGAATGAACATCACACTAATCTATGTAATAAACTCGAATCACTATCTACTTTGTATTTTATATTTTTTTCTACTTTTGCAGAAAGCATTTAGCTTCAGCAAAATAATAATCAATTTAATGACAAATCTTAATCGATGAAGAAAATCAGAAACTGTCGTATATGAAGACCATGAACAAAACTTCAAAGTACTGAGTATTAGCTTTTCTCTACCGCATGTTACGAACGAATGGTATTGAATAAACAAAAATCGAAGCAGAATCAGTGATCTTTGATACAACTTAATAAATCTAAGGTCGTAAGAGATGAATGTCAACTGATTCAGAAGGTAAGTATACTAAAAAAAATTACGTAAATTTCATATGTAAGAGAGTTGAGTTTTAGTCAAACAGTTTTCATTAAAACTGTTCGATAGGCATCGGACTTTATCCGACGTACTATTTTACCGTCCTCAGGAGGTAAATTCTTAGTAAAATGATAATAAATAAGTTCACCAAATGATCCATGAAGGTAATTTAATCATGAATGATTTTTAAGAAATTTCAGTAGATTGCAACGAATTTCTGTTAATAGTACGATAGAGAATTCCAATTATGACAAATACTCAACAGAAGTCATTACATACTAAAAGTGTAAACAAACTGTTCTATGATTATGAAACAAGAGATGACTACTCATCGACGAATGCCGAACCTAATTGCAACTTCCGTAATTAATTTTTAAAACCCTTAGAAATCTCACATAGTGACTACAGAGGAAATCATCTACTGTATTCTATCATTCTTGATTCTGTAAATTGAGATATTTCAAGATTACAGAAGGGTCAAGTTTGATATATTTGTATTTGTTGTAGTCATTTTATTAGTAATCATGATTGTGTAAAAAAAATGTTTAATTCAGGTCTAGTATTACAAAACATTTCTTCTTTAGAACTAATCATTGAAAATATCCGCCGCTGTACGAGCAGCAACTGCTTCAAACGCTCGTATTCTATCTTCTTTAAAACCACCTCCAAATGTTGTAATCGTTGGTGATACATCAGGTATTGGTCGAGCAATAGCTCGACATTGTCCATCTGCTAGTATAACCATTGTTGGATGAAATGAATCGGCTGCTAATGCTATCCTATCACAATTAGGTTCAAATCCAAAATTTATTCGTGCTGATGTCTCACTCATGTCTGGAATTCGAGCAGTAACAAAGAAGATTAATGCAGTTGACATGCTGATTTTAACTATGGCAGGTCGAACACCAACAACAGAAAATATTGACAATAAACTAGCTTTACACTATTATGATCGAATTTTATTCGTACAAGAACTTCTTCCATTACTTCGATCATTACACAATCATAGTAAAGTTCTATTCGTATTGAACCGTGTCAATGGAAATCCATCTAAAATCAATTGGAATAAATTCATATTCTCTTGCGTCACAACCAGAAAATACAAATATAACATTTACTCATGCATTTCCTGGAGTTCATTTTTTTTTCTGAACTTAATAATTGATCTTACTTTTTTTTTACGCTTGTAATTCTACAGCTGACAAACTTTTTATTTTAATTAGACTAATCGATTATCAGTTGTCCTTAATAACTAAATCTCATTTATGTCTAATTTTCCAACATGTGATCATGTTTATGGGACTGTTCTTGTCATAAGAATATTGTCGATTAATATTCATTTTTGTTTCAAGTAAATTAATTTGAGTATCTATATTCTTTTGGCCCAATTCAGTACATGATAGTCCATAACCAGAAAAATTCAATGATTCATCTTTTAATTAAATCATAGTCTTTTATTCTCTTTTGAAAAAATATTGCTATTTTATATAAATGAGTTCTTCTTCTGAATGTGAAGTTTTCAAATTTTGTTATTTGATGATATTATATCTCCATGAACAACTGCGTACTTGTTTTTAAATCGTATAATAAACAAAAATATAAATTAAAATGAATTTAACATAAGTTTAAAAATAATATATTAGGAGAATTTATAAACGAAGAAAAGAAGTACAGATTTCATAATAAAATTTTTGATGAGATCTAGCATTTAAAAATAACTATTAGCTACTAGAAAACTAAATAAAAAAGTCAAAGATAATTTCCACCCATTAGGAAAAGTATGAGGGTAGGAGTGAAGAAAAATTTTTGTGTTATATTCATACTCTTCAGTTACAGTTCATCTTTCTTCTAATTTAAGTCAATAGTATATTCGATCTTATCGAAAGCCTTCATAAAATGATGCATTTTTTGAATATCATTTCATTATTCTTTCTATTGTTGTCAGATAGATTGCTTCGAGATGAAAAATATGATTGATTCAAAAGAGCAGAGAATATAACACAATCAGATCTCAACAGGTATAGAATATTTTAACTTAAAGACATTAATCAATTTTTACTTCGATATTAAATCGAGTTGATTCCGTTTTTTTTTTACACTAGTATGTTGAAATTAATGGATACAAATCGATCTATTACAGGAAAAAAAAAACTCAATTATTTTCTGCTACGTTTCAGTTATTCTTCAAATATTGTTCATTTCATTTTTTCCCAGCATCTTATAGTTCAAAACTTCCTTGACTTTTTTTTATCAACATCAAAACATTGAAAATGCACTTTTCTATGTTACCAATCGACATTAGATGAGCAAAATGATGAATCAAGTTTACTCATGATGATGAACTTTCTTCTAAACTAATTATAAATAAAATAGACAACATCCATGATTTATTTTTGTTTTGAATTTTTTTTATTTTGTTGACACGTCGGTTCTTTTCAGAGATTCAAGGAAGTTAAACACAGCTCGTGTTGAACTCTGCAAACGCGTGTATTCAACTTGTTATATTTAACATCATGATTTACTTGAGAACTTCACTTCAAAATTGTTAACAGACTGAGGCCATTTATTACATTGATTGTTATATTTTTAGCTCTTCTTAATCTTTTATTTTTATTGTATGCAAATGTCGTAAATCATCGTAATACTTAGTTTTCTTTTTTCTATCCCTCTTTCATACATATAGTCAATAAACTCGGATATAAAATACCATACGCTACACATGTCTAGCATGCAAATACAGTGATAGACAAAACGCATGCGTCACACATGAATGCTCTTTCTAAATTAAGAGATATGTTATTTTATCTGTTACTTTGCATTCATCATCGACGCATATATTTTTTGATAAACAACAATCATGTGTCTATATCGCTTATAGTTGCTATTCGTGTATAGGTTTTAAATGATTAGTTTCATATGAGAGACTCATCAATCACAAATAGTAAACATGAAAATATTTTTTTAGTTATCGATGCAAAATTTTACTATTCTTTACATAATCATGATTTTCTATACATTTAATTTGTTAATTTAGCTGTTTAAATATTATAAATAGTTCTATGATATCATTACAAAATTTAAAATAATATCAGACACTCATACTCAATAACAAGTCATGTAATATGTTTAATCCAATTGTGTAAAAATTCATTGAACTATAATTTTGAATATAATATACACTTGGTAGTATATTCTTCTAGATATAAAACTAATAAGATTTCAATTATCTATGACAACAATAGATACTCGAAATTTTCAAGATACAATTGAACTTATATCAATTTATGGAGTTCAAAAAACGAAACAAAGAATTGATCATATGATTATTAAAGGATTTTTTGCTGGTGTTCTATTATCATTTGGTGGTCTACTTCTCTTAATAGTAGGTGGTGGTAGTACTCCAATGATTCAAAATTTTGGTCCTAGTATACATAAATTGTTACAAGGTATTGTATTTCCTATTGGTCTTGTTCTAATAGTTATAACTGGTGCTGATTTATTTACTGGTAATACAATGATATTAATAATATCAACATTACATAGAAAAACAACTTGGTTTGATCTTATTTTATCATGGATAATTTCATTTTTTGGAAATCTTATCGGTTGTTTATTTTTTCAATATATACTTGTTTATTATGCAGGTCTTCTTTCTAATGATCCATATCGTTTATTTACTATACAATTAGCTGAAACAAAAGGTAATATTAAATGGTATGAAATATTTTTACGTGGTATTGGTGGTAATTGGCTTGTATGTCTTTCATTATGGTTAGCTTCAAGTGCACGTGAATTATATTCAAAAATTCTTGGTATTTATTTACCAATATGTGTTTTTATTGTTGTTGGATATGAACATTCAATTGCTAATATGTTTACAGTTCAAATGGGTATGATTCTTGGTGCTAATTTATCTATTGGTAAATATATTTTACATGTATTAATACCAGTGACATTGGGAAATATTATTGGTGGAGGAATTTTTGTTGGTTTTGCATATTGGTATCTTTCTTTACCGAAAAAATTTAATACTGATGTTAAAAATGATGGTATAACTTCGACAAGAGATGTTTATCAAATTGTAAAACAACATGATGATTTAAATCTATCTCAACAAGCTTAGTGTAGTTTATTATTATTAAAAATTCTGAACGAATTATTGTATCCTATGAATATGTTCAAATGTATTTAATTTTTCATTGTTATTTTTTTTTGTACAAAAAAAAAAAAAGTGTAACGCTGATAATTTCGTGAACATTATGAGAAAATATGATAGTTTCATGAACTATGTAAAAAGTTACCGATTTTGTTTGTACAAGACTATGGGCTGATTTCGGTAATTAAATTGAAGACGTCCTATAAAATATTTAAGAATTAATAGATAAAAATGAACTGCTAATTTTTTTTTTTCGTTAAATTTGATACAGTTTGATGTAATGTTATTTTGAACATTATGAAAATATTTGCTACTGTAAAATGCAAAGTGTTCTAATGCATATTTTGCAAGAGAAATTTGAAAAACTATTTTGAGTTCAGAAAACTTCAGATTTATGTTAGTTTGCCTTTTTGTACTTATATATAATAACTGCAGAATATAATTGAAAATTACAATAAATTGAATTAAGTTTTGTTCGAATGATAAAGATAAAAATGATATTTTTTT